CCCCTCAGGGTCCTGCTCCCTCAGGTGTGTCCCAGGTAGATGCAGTTGAGCCAGTCGAGGTAGCTGTTGACTCTGGTGCTGCTGGTGGTGCTGAGCCTGGGGGTGCTGGGTCTGGGGGTGCTGCGACTGGGGGTGCTGAGCCTGGGGGTGCTGAGCCTGGGGGTGCTGGGCCTGGGGGTGCTGAGCCTGGGGGTGCTGCGCCTGGGGGTGCTGCGCCTGGGGGTGCTGAGCCTGGGGGTGCTGAGTCTCGGAGTGCGGAGCCTGAGGGTGCTGGACCTGCTCGTCCGGCGTCTGGTGGTGCTGAGCCTGACAGTTCTTCGGGTGCTTCGTCCCGGCGGGAGCTGCTCTCTCCACAGGAGCTGCGTGAGTGGTTCGCCCGGCGCTGGCGACGTGCTGCTGGAGCTGGTGGTGCTGCAGGAGCTGGAGGTTCTACTGCTGCTGAGAGTGCTGGTGCCGAGGGTCCCAGAGGTGCTCGTACCGAGTGTACTGGAGCTGCTGGCCCTACGAGTGCTCCTCCTGCTGGAGCTGGTGGTGCTGCTGGTGCTGCTGGCGTTGGTGCTGCTGGTGCTCCTGGAGCTGGAGCTGCTGGTGCTGCTGGTGCTGCTGGTGCTGCTGGCGTTGGTGCTGCTGGTGCTCCTGGAGCTGGAGCTGCTGCGTCTTCGGGTGGTCCGGCTGGAGCTGGAGCTACTGGGGGTGTTGGCGCTGGGGGTGCTCCTGGCGCTGGTGCTGCTGAGGGTGCTGGAGTTGGAGCTGCTGGAGCTGGGGGTCCTCCTGGTGCTGGTGCTCCCGTTGGGGGTACTGGTGCTGTTCCTGCTGGCACTGGTGGAGCTGCGCGGCCACGGCCGTACTTCGTTCCGCTCCTTGAGCAGGTTCTTGGTCTTCCGTCCTCTCTTGGTCCTGCTCCTGCCTTAGAGTGTCCGCCTCCTGTCCAGTCTGAGTCACAGTTACAGCCACCTTCCCCGCTTCCTTCTCCTTCTCCCTACACTGGTCCTACTAGAGGTCTTGCTGAGCGTCGTGAGCCTGCGTCTCGCCCTGCGTCGCCTGTCCGCGCTGCTCGCACTAGTGGTCGTGGTTCCCGTCAGCGTCCTCCCCCTGTCCCCGGTACGCACCGGATGTCTTTACGTCCTTCCACTGCTCCTCTGCGTGCCCCTTTGCCTTCTCCTCCCGCGTCCTCTCTTCCTGACCTTCCTGACCCTGAGTCGGACTCCCTTCGTGCGGCGCGTCCTACTGTCACGCGTCTCCTTGCTACTGTTGTCACTGACCCTTCCTTTGAGTCTACTGCTGCGTCTGCTCTGGTTGCTGAGCTTGTCGACTTCGCTGCCCGCTGTCGCCTAGACTACGCTGCCAGTCTCGTCGCTGAGTCTGAGTCTGTCTGTCCTCCGTCCGTCGGGGGTGAGTGTGCTCTTGGCACGGACGTCCTTGAGGACAGGCAGGAGGAGTTCCAGTGCTTGGCTGCTGCTTCACCTCATCTCGTGTCCATGCTGCTTGCCCCTGAGGGAGACCCGGATGCACTTGACATCCCGACTCCGCGCTCTTACGCGGAGGCGATAGAGGGTCCCTACTCTTCTCAGTGGCAGGCAGCCATGGACGCAGAGATGGCTTCCTGGAAGTCCACAGGCACCTACGTTGACGAGGTTCCCCCACCTGGGGCGAACATTGTCAGTGGCATGTGGATTTTCAGGGTGAAGCGGCCGTCGGGTTCTCCGCCTGTCTTCAAGGCGCGTTACGTGGCTCGTGGCTTCAGTCAGCGACAGGGAGTTGACTACTTTCAGACCTTCTCTCCCACCCCGAAGATGACCACTCTTCGGGTACTGCTGCACATAGCCGCTCACCGAGACTACGAGCTGCACTCTCTTGACTTCAGCACAGCTTTCCTGCAGGGCAGCCTGCACGAGGAGATCTGGCTGCGCCGCCCACCTGGCTTCACTGGGAATTTTCCTCCTGGCACCCAGTGGAGCCTCCGGCGGCCAGTCTACGGTCTCCGCCAGGCGCCTCGTGAGTGGCACGACACACTGAGGACTACACTTGCGGCTCTTGGGTTTGCTCCTTCTACTGCCGACCCGTCGCTGTTTCTGCGCACCGACTCTTCCTTGCCGCCGTTCTACATCCTCGTGTACGTCGACGACTTGGTCTTTGCTACAGCTGACACTGCTGGACTTGCCTACGTGAAGTCCGAGCTGCAGAAGAGACACACGTGCACAGACCTGGGTGAACTGCGCAGCTACCTTGGCTTGCAGATCACCCGGGACAGAGCACAGCGCACCATTACCCTGACTCAGTCACACATGGTGCAGCAGGTCCTTCAGCGCTTCGGCTTCACGTACTCCTCGCCTCAGGCCACTCCTCTGCCTACACGCCACTCGCTCTCAGCTCTGCCTTCGGATGAGTCCGTAGAGTCGAGTGGCCCGTACCCAGAGCTTGTCGGCTGCCTCATGTACCTGATGACCTGCACTCGACCTGACCTTGCATACCCTCTTAGCATTCTGGCACGCTATGTTGCTCCTGGGAGACACAGACCAGAGCACATGGCTGCAGCGAAGAGGGTGTTGCGCTACTTGTGCAGTACGTCGGGCATGGGGCTTGTGCTTGGAGGGCAGAGTTCAGTGGTCCTCACTGGTCACGCAGACGCTTCTTGGGCTGACGACCAGGCTACGCAGCGGTCGTCACAGGGTTACACCTTCAGCCTTGGCTCCGGCTCTGTTTCGTGGCGGTCTACCCGCTCGTCTTCTGTTCTCGGCTCCAGTTGTGAGGCTGAGATCTACGCAGGGGCCATGGCTGCACAGGAGTTACGCTGGCTCACCTACCTGCTGACTGACCTGGGAGAGCGTCCTCGTTCTCCTCCAGTGCTGTACGTAGACAACAAGGCCATGCTGGCCTTGTGTCGGGAGCACAGACTGGAGCACAGAACGAAGCACATCGCTCTCCGCTACTTCCTTGCTCGTGAGCTGCAGCAGCGTGGTCAGCTGCGCCTTGCTTACGTGGCCTCTGAGGCCAACACTGCTGATATCTTCACCAAGGCACTCGCGCCTTGTGATCATCAGCGCTTCTGTACTCTGTTAGGTCTTGTGCCTACCTTGCCTCACTTGCTTACTTCTTGACCTTGCTTGTACTGTTACATATATATACCTGCCCTTGCTTGTTTAGCGTTATATATATGTACCCTTGCATGTGAACTGGCCTTGTGGCCTTGAACTTGTGCTCAGACTGTGTGATGACGTTGTGATCCACCCTGAGCTTGCTTTGCCTTGCTTTGCTTGACTGGTCTTGTGACCCCTTGTTCTCCCCCACTTTGCCTATGGGGGTGTGTCAAACTCATACACTATAGTCTGTGTAGGCTGTAGTGGGGTAGCTTATATGGGGTACAACATTCTAGGGTTTGGTACTTGTACTCCTCATGCTGCTCAATGCAACCCATTCTCGTTCTATTCTAAGATTCTAACACCCGCTGCACTTCGTCCACGTGTGCGGATCCTTCCGCGTTTTGGGGGTGAAAGCGCTCGTTCTGAGCGTTTTTCTTCCGCCGGGTCACGTGGCTTCGCTTGTCTGTGCCTATTACCAAGCCAGCAGGGGTGTGCAGGAAATGCAGTGGCCACGTGACCCAGCAGAAGAAAAACGCTTGGAACTAGTGCTTTCACCTAGATGCTACTACATATTCAGGAGGCCCATGCTCAAATACGCCTATCAGAGCAATTTCATTTTGGTTCGTGCGCAAAGAAAAAGTTCGGCGCCTGTGATGACGGTTGTGTTTGCTGTCAAATGCTAAGGATGCGCATGGATCCCTACATGCGTCGGGAAAAGTATCAAACGACCTGAATGTTATTGCATATTCGGTGGCCTATGCTCGGCTATGCCTATCAGAGCAATTTCAGCTTGGTTCTTGCGCAAAGAAAAGTTTGGCGCCTGCGATGATTGCTGTATTTACCGACAAATGCTAAAGAACCTGAACATGCGCATGGATCCCGCATGCGTATGGAAAAGCATTAAACAACCTGAACGTTATTGCATATTCAGTTGCTTATGCTCGAATACACATTTCAGAGCAATTTCAGCTTGGTTCGTGCGCAAATGAAAGTTCGGCACCTGCTGCGATGACGACTGTTTTTTTGCGACAAATGCTAATGAAGCGCATCGATCTCTACATGCGTAGGGAAAATCATCTAACGACTTGAATGTTATTGGATATTCGGGTGGCCCATGCTCAAATACACCTATCAGAGCAATTTCAGTCTGGTTCGTGTGCTATGAAAAGTTCGGTGTCTGCGATGACGGCTGTGTTTGGTGAAAAATGCTAAGGAAGCGTATCGATCCCTACGGATGTGTTATGGTACAAGTGCGTTTTGTTAAGAGGTATGTTATGGTAACAGGTTGGTTATGGTAACGCGTGCGTTGTGGTAACATGTGTCTTATGGTAACATGTGCGTCATGGTACATTATCTTGGAGGTGACCACCAGTCAGGCAGGCAGCCACGCAGTTCTTCTATGTGCCCCTGTCACATCGGAATTCCCAGTGGTGGTGGTGAGATGTGGAAGAAAGACCTCTGCTCTGCGGTAGTTCCGAGGGTTTGTTTTGGCGACCAGGTTGTTCCTGAGCGCCGCATCGCTGAGGCTTTGCCTCTTCGGGCGCTGCTAGTTCTCATCTCTGGTAGGGTTGTACACAGCTTCCCAAGCTGAAGACCCGCTGTCGCTAGAAGGCACGCGGTGCTGCGTGTCGTTGGGCTTTTCCTCACATCGCGTTGTCGTGATTCCTGCGAATTAGTAAGCATGTTGTCGGGCATGCGTCATTTCAAAATTTGCCTCTAGACCCGAATTGCCAGCCACGATGGCATCTGCATCTGCTATGGCGCCGGCTTGGACGTCACGTGGACCATCGATCGTGCATCAGCACCTACGCTTCTCTTTCAACGTGCTGCTAGGAGTCATGACCACCATGCTTCTGCAGCATCTTGCGTACCAGTTCTCAGCGCCGTTCCTTCGCGAGGCTTCATCAGGCGTCGGCGACAATGCCATGGTGAAGCTTTCCGCAAGCCTTCGACCGTTTTCAGTTCGTTCCTTATCAGTCTTCTCCATGTCGTCCGTTCTTTTGATTCTCGTCGCATGCTGCTTATCTGGTATTTTTCAGTAAGTTATTTTTTTCCTTTTTCTCCAGGCAGGCATGGCACCGCAGCCACGAATCGGTAACATCGAAGGACTTACGGCTCAAATCGGCTCGACTCCAGCGGATCTTTCCCGCGCCAATGCGATTCTTGCGGATCTTCGCATCAGGCTTGATGCCTTGGCCAGACGCCTTCCCACATTGTAAGGATTTCTGTTTTTCCACAAATTCTTCCTCGAAATTCCGTGCTCTCCTTCGTAACTGTTGTTGCTCTATCTAGTCCGTCTGATATAACTCTCGAATCTGCTTTTGAGTCTGGCTTATACCTTCTATCATCACACCGCATGTTCAGATCCGCGAGCGATGCTGATTTCGAGGCCATTGGACGAGAGCCAGAGGGTCTGCAGCTACCCGCTCACCCGCCTGTCGCCGCTCTGCCATTGCCGGAGCAGACCGTGATTCGCCGGGACGAGCCTCCGATCTACCAGCACCTGCGCGAGCAGAACAGCGTGCAGAGGCAAACGCAAACGGTGGACGGCGCTGCTCCAAACGATGCGGTAACAGACGGCAGGGTAGTGCGTGATCCGGTGACTGACGGCGCTGAGGACGCTGAAGTTGCAGATCAGGCTGGCGGTGCTGCCGGGAACCCGGATTTTCTCACAACGCACTCGACGGATCAAGCATTTTCTGGTGACATTTCGAGGCAGCTTCTGAGCGATGCCTCGGGGATCATGACCGTCGAAGCATCTGGTCTGCCTGCTTCTCGGAGAGTGCCGACCTCTCCCAAGTATTTTCTCTCCGCCATGGTGTACAATCGCGTCTTCCGCGGCGACCGTCTCAATTTCTCATCTTTTGAAATTTGGCAGGTAAGCCTCCGCACATGCTCTTCCTATAATATCTCGTACACTCCTCTTCACTTCCCCTTGCAACTTCCCCCCTTCCCTCCCCCCTCTTCCTCCCATACCCACACCCGCTTTCGATACCGTTTATTTATTACCCCCCTGCATCTGCTCGCCGTCCTGACTCGCTGGCTTCACATCTCCATAATCGTCGCCGTCGTTGCTGGCACCTTCCTTCTCTCACGACCTTCTCCCTTCGGTGTGGTTTGCTGGTCTGGTGTGGTGTGAATGGGTTGTGTTCGGTGACTGGCTGAATGATTTCTGGCGTGAAATCCATGCTTGGTGTTGTCGCCGTGCAGTGGGTGGCCTTCACGCGCCTGGCCGGCGTGGAGCACGTCTTCTGGTACGACTGCGCGCACGACGCGTCCGAACGCCAGGCGGAAGCTCTCAGTCCCTTCATCCGCGCGCGCTACCTCACCTACCTCCCGCTGCACCGCATTCTCAGCGCCGCGTACAACGTCTTTCCCGAGCAGAACGGCGCGATTCTGCACTACCTCAAGGAGTATCGCAACGCGTCCACGTGGGTGGTGTTCTGCGACGTCGACGAGTTCATTTTCGACCCTCGGGATCTCCGCGCGGGCTTCCTCTTCCGTTTTATGCGCAACGTCTCGCTCGCGGATCCCTCCGTCACCCAGGTATGCTCCTTGTGCGTGGCCGAATGTGTCATTATTCGTGTTTTTGTTTCGTTGTTAAGCTGTGCCTTCCTGTGTCTGTTCCCGTCCCTCTACCCGGCTCCCGCGCGTCCGAAGTTTCCAACCGTTCTAAAGCCGTCGTTAACCCCTCTGCCCCATTCCAACCGTTATGAACCTAATTTCAGGTCCTCGCGCCTAACATATTCTTCGTAGGCAACAGCGAAGCTCCTCGCTCCTTCCTGCTCTTCCGCCGCTTTACTAAGTGCCAGCACTTAGCGGACTGGCGGCAGCACTTGCAGCGCTCCAAGCCCATCGTGCGCGTGGCGGCGGTGGAGCAGTGGGCGGACATGCGCGTTGCGCCGCACTTCTTCCCCATGGCCATGGGCGCAACTGAGCGTGCGGATCCCGCGCAGCTGCGCATGCACCACTACTGGGGGCCGCGGGGGACAGGGTTTGGCGCAGAGACGAGGGAGTTCGCAAAAGAAGTGGAGAGGGATTCGATTATTCAGGTGAGCAGGAAATCACATTGAACCTCAGAAGCTTTATTCGTTCTTCCTCCTCAGTGACCGTTCCTTGCCCCATCACCTCTCCCTCCCCAGTGTTTTTTCCTCTCACATCCGTTCGCTGTCTCTTACTGCTTTCTGTGGTTGCTTCATTCAGCTCCGTCCATTCCGCCTTTCGTGTGTGTTCTGGGCTGTGACTCGTCCTGATGCCTGCTTGTGCTTGGTGCTTGCTAGGTGCTGGGTCTAGGTGCTGGGTGCTTGCTAGGTGCTGGGTGTCTGCTTGGTGTCGGGTGCTTGTGGGTGATTGTTTGTGCTTCATTCCTGATTGCGTGCTTGGTGCCTGCATTGTGCATGCTTGGTGCCTGCATGGTGCATGCTTGGTGCCTGCATGGTGCATGCTTGGTGCCTGCATGGTGCATGCTTGGTGGTTGCATGGTGCATGCTTGGTGCTTGCGTGCTGCAGCCATTGGAGCAGCCGCTCACTCGAATGCTGGACCTGGGCTTGCCGTATCTCACCTACCTGGAGGCGAAACGAAGGATCCTAGAAGCAGCGGACAGCGCCATGCGGCTCTCTTACACCCTTGCTGACCCGTTTGAGTGGCGTTGACTGGCGGTGACTCGGCCTCCCTGCCTATGACGTGGCTTCACGGATGTGGACTTGGCTTCGCTGCTGCTGATCTGGCTTCAGTACCGCCGCTGACCTGGCCAGAAGCCGGCTGACCTCGGCTCTTGCCCCCCATGGACTCAGCATCGACAAGGCTGGACGGACCATTGACCAGCTCCGCGTTATAATTGTCACACACAGGTCAGTGCCATGGTGATTCACCTTACCTCGTCCCCAGTCGGGTGCTCCTTCCTTTCAAGTTTCGGTTTTACCACTCATTGTTCGGTGGGGTCATTTGCCAGTGATGCTCTTATTTCCGTAAACTCCTGAGCGTGCCTGTGATTGCACACATCACCGTACTTCAACTCTACTGAGGCAAATGATTCCTTCTCGAGCCCCCTCCACTTCTCGTCCTCCTGAACGTCATTCTTTTTACGGATCAAAATATTCTTGACGTAACCCTGTGTTGCTGCTTGAAGCAGTAGCTGTAGTGTTTAGGCACGTCGTGCTCCCCGCGCCTACTGTTTGGTCTGTCGGAAATCAGTATGGTCGTCGTCAGGAGCAGCATGATGATCAACCTCATAGACCTGTGCTGATTCACAGTGATGAGTACTCATATGCACTACCAGCTGACTGCTCCAGTCATTTCTCTTGTTTGCCAATGGGCCTTCTGGTCCTGTGTCTGACCCTCTGCTTTGAATCCGTTAAAACGTTTCCTTGTCTGCTGTTTGACTGCTGAGGTGGGGAAATCACCTCGATCCTGGTTTTTCTTCACCTTATGCAACTCATTGGTTTTCCCCACTGCGTGGTCCAGCCGTATTGCCAGTGATGCTCTTATTTCCGTAAACTCCTGAGCACGCCTATGATTGCACACAATCACCGAACTTCAACTTTTTCTGAGGCAATTGGTTCTTTAAACTTTTCAAGCCTGAACTTTCCGTCCTTTTATGGAGCATCATTTATCTCGCCATGGGTCTGAGCAGCATGATGATTAAACTCATAGACCTGTGCTGATACACAATGAGGAATACTCACATGCACTACCAGCTGACTGCTCTCCTCACCAAACCTGTTCTTTTTTTTGTCCCACGAATGTAGTTGCTCCCACATTTCACTAAGGTAACCTTGGCTATTTTGGTTTGAGCTATCAGTCTCGCAGAGCAACTTGCCGGTGATGTAAGACATGTTCCAATTCATGACCCTGTCTCTGATTTACCAAACATTATCACCATCTTTCGACTGAGACAAGTTGCTACTTGGTGCTCCAGCTTTTTTGTCTGATCATAATTTCCGCCCACACTTAAATTTAACCTCTGTTTCTTAGCCTAACCATGCTACTTTTTTGTTTGGCCGGAGGATACATTTGCCAATGATGCAGAATTGTCCAATCATGAGCCTTTCGCTGATTTTAAAACCTATCACCATCTTTCGACTGAGGCAAATGCTTGAATTTGTCACTGCTGATCCGATTTGCGTGTTACGCGTCTGAGCAGGGTGATGATCAAACTCATAGACCTGTGCTGATTCACAATGAAGAGTACTCACATGCACTACCATCTGACTGCTCCATTCCCCATGCCCTATTCTTTACCTGTTTCTCCCATTCTTTTCCCAACCCTGATCTGGTCCTGTTCATCCATTCAATGTGTTATCATTATTTGGAAATTCGGATCCCTGGATTCACTTGGTGAGCTTGCTCTCAAGTGCATGCTCGCTGGCTTGGGGGTCTGTAGAGGAACATGGCCTTGAACGGTTGTGTGCGTGGCTTATCGTTTCAGGCAGCTATGGCTAAACCAGTCATAAGTTAGCTACTTGATTGTGTCCTCGCAACATAGGAAACATGCTGAGTTTATATTATGATGGTGGAGTTTTGTTTCCTCTGTTATTCAACCGTTGTATTCTTTTGTTTTGAATTTGGCAGGTGCTGGAAAGTGGACTTGCTTCAAAACTGGACAGTGTATGTGGTACTAGCAACTGATTTGAAGTGGCACTTATGTATTGCATACTGGACTGTAAAAGTATTTGTCATGTCGTACATGCTTATCGATGAAAGTACTTATATCAGGCAGTATATTCAGGCTTACACCCTTCAGGCGAGTATAGTCTTAACATACATTAACACCATTTTGAGAATGAGTAATTGTATTAGCCACTACATTAGTGCGTGCCTTTCTTGTATTCTCAATTCATTCAATCACATTCTCGCTGTTCGTAAATCTGCGCACTCTCCTCCACAACTCATAACAAATGGGCTACTTCTATGTGAGATGCTTCAGGATTGGGCATACGAGTCTGTTAGAATTTTATGGTTCTGCTTTATATAAATTGCTAAATATCTACAGTGTCGGCTGACGAGGAGGGAAGCGCTGAAGCACTGCTGGAACGACATGTGATCGGGGACGTCCAATAAATGGCATTTGCAGTTCCCCGTGGTTGCTCATGTGACGTCCAAACACGAAACGGGCTGTCGTGGAGCCCACCCGGAGCAAAGATTACTGAACTGAATGGATTAATGACCTTATCCATTTCCAACAGCCAAACTTTTCCAGCAAAAAGGGAAGTTTTGATCACGTGGAACTCCTGCTAAAGTTTTGTGCGACGCGCTGGCCCCAAGATCTTTTAGCTGATCTGTGCTGGGCATTGGCCAGCGCGACAAAAAGCTGCCTTATCAGTGTGCGAACTGTCGATCTGCAATGAGGAAACGGTCACGATGTCACGTCCTTTCCGAAACTTGAATCTCGTCTCCTCTTGTTTCGGCCGACGTGGAATAGCAACCAATCAGTAGAGCGCAGTGAACTTTCCGATGTGGCTCATTTGCAATGGCTGCTGAGTAACGCATCAGCAGCCGATGGGTCAACCGGACAAAGTGCATTCCTCGCCGCGCGTTCTCTTGCACGAGCGAACTTTCCTCAGCTACTCAAGTGACAGCGTGTAGGGGGAGAGAGGAAACCTCAAGGCAAATCCCTGGGAATATCCATTCGACTATAAATCACAGCGTCTTCACAGCTGCGTTCAGCAGCTGTTTTTTTACGTTCAATATCTCCACACACGCTTCTCAGAATCTCCCGACTCTTCGTCTCACCTGCCTGCTTTTCTTCGTTATCGTCATTTAGTGAACATGGCTTCCACCATTGATGAGCTGAAGAACATCGAGATTACCACTGGCCAAATCATCGCTGAATACATATGGTCAGTTCTGATTCTCGCTTTGCATCACAGTCAACCACGTCTTCAGTCTTCGATCCAGCTTTGGTTTCGAAACATAGCATGATTCGAGCTTGTTATGTGTGTGCAGGATCGGTGGCTCTGGCATTGACATCAGGAGCAAGGCCAGGGTAAGTTTCATGATAATCTGTCGGACTGCTTTCTGTACCGCCCCGCTACTCTCACTGCATTAACAACCAACGAACTCAAGCTGATTCTGTTCAATGATTGTTTGCTACTTGTCTTGCGTGACCAGACTCTCAAGGGTCCCATTGGACCAAATGACGTGGCGAAGCTGCCTAAGTGGAACTTCGATGGCTCCAGCACTGGCCAGGCACCCGGCGACGACAGCGAGGTCATTCTCTAGTGAGTTCCGTTTCAGCTTTTTGAGCATTTGAATCAGTCATTGATTTTGCGTCATTCTCTTCCTGGACTGCGTGTATCCCTCCTGACCCCCATTCTCCGTCTCGCATTGTCTTGCAGCCCGCAGGCAATCTTCAGGGACCCGTTCCGCGGAGGAGACAACATTCTGGTCATTTGCGATTGCTACACGCCGCAGGGCCAGCCCATCCCCACCAACAAGCGCGCCGTCGCTGCCGACATTTTCGAGAAAGTGAAGGAGCACGAGGCCTGGTGAGTCAGCGCATGAGCAGCGCTCGTCGATCTCTGTAACAACCGTCGATCGTTTGCCTCAGCAGTGCGACGCTATTATTACCGGGAGCTGGACTCACAATCACTAAGCTCATAGCTCCGTCTGCTGCTTTCCCTCTGCCTCCGTTTCATCAGGTTCGGACTGGAGCAGGAGTACACTCTGATGCAGAAGGACGCCAACTGGCCGCTCGGGTGGCCCAAGGGCGGGTACCCCGCGCCGCAGGGGCCGTACTACTGCGGCACGGGCGCGGACAAGGCGTGGGGGCGCGACATCGTGGACGCGCACTACAAGGCGTGCCTGTACGCGGGGGTTAAGATCAGCGGCATCAACGCGGAGGTCATGCCCGGCCAGTGGGAATTCCAAGTGGGGCCGTGCACGGGCATTGAGGCGGGCGATCACCTCTGGATGGGACGCTACCTGCTCGAGGTACATACGCAGTCCATTTGTGCTCAAATCACTTGCGTTCTCTGGTTCTACTCTACTACTCGGTACTTGTCACGACCATACGTTGTCTAACCAGCCGCATTGTATGCTCTGCCGCTCTTGCAGAGAGTGACGGAGATGGCTGGTGTTGTCCTGACGCTCGATCCCAAGCCAATTCAGGTAAGCGCTTGGTTCTGTGTTTCCTTGCATCACTTTCCTGCCATCATTCGCCCTAGAGACTTCATTGATTCTCTCATGGGCAAGCCGTTGTGGAGTCCTCACTGACTTAATACGCGCGCTTCTATTTGCTTGGGCGTGCACAGGGCGACTGGAACGGGGCAGGGTGCCACACCAACTACAGCACCAAGGCGATGCGCGAGGAGGGCGGGTACGACGTGATCCTGAAGGCCATTGAGAAGCTGGGCCTGCGGCACAAGGACCACATCGCCGCCTATGGCGAGGGCAATGAGCGGCGCCTCACTGGCAAGCACGAGACTGCTGACGTCAACACCTTCTCATGGGTACGGAATGTGATAGTAACTTGTGCATACGTATGGCATGCGCGTGGCCAGCATTGGCATATGCGCTCCACTTCACGACTATGGAGTTGCATGAGGTGTGACTTGTACGAAGCAAAAGGCACCTGAATGGCACTGACGTGCATTTGCTTGAGCAAACTCTGACGAGGCTCCTCCTTCCTCAGTCCCATCCTCTTGCTCATTGACTTCGTCCGTTCTCCCTTGTCTATCAGGGTGTGGCGAACCGTGGGTGCTCGGTGCGAGTGGGGCGGGACACGGAGGCTCAGAAGAAGGGGTACTTTGAGGACCGCCGGCCGGCCAGCAACATGGACCCCTACGTGGTCACCTCTAAGATTGCCGATACTACCATCCTCTGGGACCCCAAGGGTGAGTCTGGCGTTGCCCTGCATTGATAACCCCCTTGCTGAGTGCCTATGTTGCTTCACTCTTGTGTCTTGTCTGCATCAGGCTTGCTGTTTCCTAAACTGCTGCGTGTGCCAATCCTTTTCCACCCTTCCCTTTTCCTGTTTTACTTCCTCTTCTGTGCAGCTTAAAGCACTGGTCAAGATTGTCCCTTGGAAGCTGCACTTCCAGAGGGGGTTAGCTAAGGCTGCTGCCTGACTAGGATGTGTCTGTCTCAATCCTGCATCGTTCCACACACACAGAAAAAAACTAGTGCTTTCATGTGTCTAGGTTGTGATACATATGTCTAGTCATGTTTTCCTGCTTCACTGTGTAGGATTACACGTGATATACAGATGTTTCTTAAGTAAGGTCAAAACCTGATATTTAGTCACCTTGGACCATAATATACCTGTTTGTGGTATGATCATCAATGAAGGTGTGCATGCTTTGATCTAAAATGTAAACAGCAAGTTTGGTAGATCTACACATGATACCGTAATGGATTATGTGCTCGAGGAGACAACGACGGCTGAAATCGAGTTTTCCCTCCGCACTGTTGACGTGACGGTCAACTCAAATTTGAATTCTTGGTCTGACACCTTCACGAGATGCGGCCAATAGCGTTGCTGCCTGTCAACAAACCTGAGCTCACCATCACGACCCCATCCAACACCGGATGTGAGCAGATCCCTCGCGAAAGCAATGTAACATTTTTGCACAGCGGTGTAAGGTAACTTTCGAAATTCCGAAAAAAGCCTGGTTCTCTTGCCAGCCTTCAGACAGTTTTCGCAGCTCCCTGCTGTTCAGCGCACCTCCTCCAGCGACTTTCCAAGCCTTCCCGCCTCGTCAGCGCAAATTTCCCGCAACCAGAGTCTGCTGCAGCAGTGGCGTCTCCCGCCTTGGGATTGTACTGGAGAGGGGACTTTCTCAGCTGCATGGCGACTCGGCTCCTCGCTCCCCTTCTTTCAAGTCCTTCGCCTCTCCACCCCTCTCCTCCCCTCACCTCCTCTGACTAGGGCATCTCATTCAGTTGGACTTGAGACCGAACCTCTTTCACGTGGTACCGCGTAGGAACGTACTCGACCGAATAACTGAACTTGGATCAGGCTCCGCTTGGGCTTTCCTTCCGCCCTGTGAGTGAATCTGCTGCACGGCGACTCACCTCACTTCCGCAAGCCTCGCATTCCCTTCCATTCCACAATCCCTCTTGCGCCGCCAGTTCTTTCAGGCGCTTGCTTGTTAACTCGATCCGTCCGTTCATGGCCGCTTCTTCAGTGATGACACGTGCGTCAAAAATAGCAATCGCTTGAGACTATGCTTAGACTTCAAATCAGAACGCTCCACACTCTTAACTAAACGACCGTCAGATCGTTTTCTGGACGACCGGCTGCTAGAATCATCGTTCACCGGCGATCAACTCGTACTTTCATCATAGAAGCTTAGGAGTCATCGAATGAGACCCGCCAACTCCTTTCTCGATCAAGTCTTATTATTAGACGTCAGGCTCTCGCCGCGCATCAGCTGTTTCGTGGGATATTCTTTCGTGTCACGCCAGCAACCTGAAGCTTCCTTCCACGATGCGTTGTTCGCGGTCGTGCTTCGTCCTACGATGCCGCTCGCGTGGTTAGGGTTTGTCGTAGGAGGATAATATTCAGCACTTATCGAGGGAAGGAGTTTCATTTGACTTACATTATTCGGAGAGGGAATCTCGCAGAGCCTGCAGCAAGCACCAATCGATCTCGCAGCATGCATCCCACGACGTCGATGATGCCGTCCGTCCGACGCCGATGTTGACGTTCGACACCGCTTCCACCGTTCAACTACTAATAGTAGTAACGTCCGACGCCCACTACCGTAGACACTTGCGACGTTAACGAAGATGACCACGCGAAGACGCCTGACGGTGAAGAATGATGCTACTACGTGAGGATTTTCGTGAGTCGGTGGCGGTAGAGTTCGCGAATGCATGGATGATGGAAGAGATCTCGCCGGCGAGAGAGCTCTCGACACTATTACGGACGCTCTTCGTGACGGCGAGTTCGTGACTAAGCTTGCGAAATGATTGACGGGAATCTTTTTTGAGTCTGATTATTCGTCGATTCCGAAGAGCTCGCGAGGCCGTCGATGGTAGTACGACGGAAGATTCGCTCGTCCACACGTCGACACTCACGACGGCGGGATAGCTCGCGAAGGAGCTTCTTCGTGATGCAACGGACGACCGTGCGACGACCGTTCGACGCTCGCGACATCCCTTCGAAAATGCGGATTCTGTGAATTTGTCGACGCGAGAGCTATCGAAGTGGCCGTTTTCGCGAATACGTCGACGTTCGCGCCGCTACTACTACGGAGGATCGCGGGTGAGTTCTCGTCCAACTTGAAATGCGCTATCTTGTAGGGTAAACGTTTTGTGGCGGATATCTTCCAAGTTTATCTCTTCTGTCGCTATTTTCCTGCTCTGTTGGCGTTCGCGTTTCGTTTGCGTTCAAAATTGCGTATATCTCGTTTCCGTTTCTATCATAGCGTCCGTATCTCACTCACTCGTTGCGATTTGAACTGTCTCCGTCCGTGCAGGAGCGAGCTAGTTTACTGGTTTGCGTTGGAGCTAATGGTTCGTCGGCTAATCTCTCGCCAAGAGCTGGAGCGGTGCTGCCGCGGGAGACGAGCGTGCGAGAGGTGATGCTGACTGCTGGGGCGGCGTTGGTGCTGGCGCGGTGCTGCTGCGTCCATGGAAGCATGACGTTGACTGGCGTTGCTGCTGTGTTGGAGGCGGTGCTGCTGTGTTGGAGGCGGTGCTGCTGTGTTGGAGGCGGTGCTGCTGTGTAGGAGGAGGTGCTGCTGTGTTGGAGGTGGTGCTGCTGTGTTGGAGGCGGTGCTGCTGTGTTGGAGGCGGTGCTGCTGTGTTGGAGGCGGTGCTGCTGTGTTGGAGCGGTGCTGCTGTGTTGGAGCGGTGCTGCTGTGTTGGAGCGGTGCTGCTGTGTTGGAGCGGTTCTGCTGTGTTGGAGCGGTTCTGCAGTGTTGGAGGCGGTGCTGCTGTGTTGGAGGCGGTGCTGCTGTGTTGGAGAGGTGCTGCTGTGTTGGAGCGGTGCTGCTGTGTTGGAGGCGGTGCTGCTGTGTTGGAGGCGGTGCTGCTGTGTTGGAGCGGTGCTGCTGTGTTGGAGCAGTGCTGCTGTGTTGGAGGCGGTGCTGCTGTGTTGGAGGCGGTGCTGCTGAGTTGGAGCGGTGCTGCTGTGTTGGAGCGGTGCTGCTGTGTTGGAGGCGGTGCTGCTGTGTTGGAGGCGGTGCTGCTGTGTTGGAGCGGTGCTGCTGTGTTGGAGCGGTGCTGCTGTGTTGGAGGCGGTGCTGCTGTGTTGGAGGCGGTGCTGCTGTGTTGGAGCGGTGCTGCTGTGTTGGAGCGGTGCTGCTGTGTTGGAGCGGTGTTGCTGTGTTGGAGGCGGTGCTGCTGTGTTGAGGCGGTGCTGCTGTGTTGGAGGCGGTGCTGCTGTGTTGGAGCGGTGCTGCTGTGTTGGAGCGGTGCTGCTGTGTTGGAGCGGTGCTGATGTGTTGGAGCGGTGCTGCTGTGTTGGAGGCGGTGCTGCTGTGTAGGAGGAGGTGCTGCTGTGTTGGAGGTGGTGCTGCTGTGTTGGAGGCGGTGCTGCTGTGTTGGAGGCGGTGCTGCTGTGTTGGAGGCGGTGCTGCTGTGTTGGAGCGGTGCTGCTGTGTTGGAGCGGTGCTGCTGTGTTGGAGGCGGTGCTGCTGTGTTGGAGGCGGTGCTGCTGTGTTGGAGCGGTGCTGCTGTGTTGGAGCGGTGCTGCTGTGTTGGAGCGGTGCTGCTGTGTTGGAGCGGTTCTGCTGTGTTGGAGCGGTTCTGCAGTGTTGGAGGCGGTGCTGCTGTGTTGGAGGCGGTGGTGCTGTGTTGGAGAGGTGCTGCTGTGTTGGAGCGGTGCTGCTGTGTTGGAGGCGGTGCTGCTGTGTTGGAGGCGGTGCTGCTGTGTTGGAGCGGTGCTGCTGTGTTGGAGCAGTGCTGCTGTGTTGGAGGCGGTGCTGCTGTGTTGGAGGCGGTGCTGCTGAGTTGGAGCGGTGCTGCTGTGTTGGAGGCGGTGCTGCTGTGTTGGAGGCGGTGCTGCTGTGTTGGAGCGGTGCTGCTGTGTTGGAGGCAGTGCTGCTGTGTTGGAGCGGTGCTGCTGTGTTGGAGGCGGTTCTGCAGTGTTGGAGGCGGTGCTGCTGTGTTGGAGGCGGTGCTGCTGTGTTGGAGAGGTGCTGCTGTGTTGGAGCGGTGCTGCTGTGTTGGAGGCGGTGCTGCTGTGTTGGAGGCGGTGCTGCTGTGTTGGAGCGGTGCTGCTGTGTTGGAGCAGTGCTGCTGTGTTGGAGGCGGTGCTGCTGTGTTGGAGGCGGTGCTGCTGAGTTGGAGCGGTGCTGCTGTGTTGGAGGCGGTGCTGCTGTGTTGGAGCGGTGCTGCTGTGTTGGAGGCGGTGCTGCTGTGTTGGAGGCGGTGCTGCTGTGTTGGAGCGGTGCTGCTGTGTTGGAGGCAGTGCTGCTGTGTTGGAGCGGTGCTGCTGTGTTGGAGGCGGTTCTGCAGTGTTGGAGGCGGTGCTGCTGTGTTGGAGGCGGTGCTGCTGTGTTGGAGAGGTGCTGCTGTGTTGGAGCGGTGCTGCTGTGTTGGAGGCGGTGCTGCTGTGTTGGAGGCGGTGCTGCTGTGTTGGAGCGGTGCTGCTGTGTTGGAGCAGTGCTGCTGTGTTGGAGGCGGTGCTGCTGTGTTGGAGGCGGTGCTGCTGAGTTGGAGCGGTGCTGCTGTGTTGGAGGCGGTGCTGCTGTGTTGGAGCGGTGCTGCTGTGTTGGAGGCGGTGCTGCTGTGTTGGAGGCGGTGCTGCTGTGTTGGAGCGGTGCTGCTGTGTTGGAGGCAGTGCTGCTGTGTTGGAGCGGTGCTGCTGTGTTGGAGGCGGTGCTGCTGTGTTGGAGCGGTGCTGCTGTGTTGGAGCGGTGCTGCTGTGTTGGAGGCGGTGCTGCTGTGTTGGAGGCGGTGCTGCTGTGTTGGAGCGGTGCTGCTGTGTTGGAGCGGTGCTGCTGTGTTGGAGCGGTGCTGCTGTGTTGGAGGCGGTGCTGCTGTGTTGAGGCGGTGCTGCTGTGTTGGAGGCGGTGCTGCTGTGTTGGAGCGGTGCTGCTGTGTTGGAGCGGTGCTTCTGTGTTGGAGCGGTGCTGCTGTGTTGGAGCGGTGCTGCTGTGTTGGAGCGGTGCTGCTGTGTTGGAGGCGGTCCTGCTGTGAAGGAGGTGGCGTGGTGCTGCTGCGAAGGAGGTGGCGTGGTGCTGCTGCTCTTCTCTTCTCCAACACCTGTCAACATCCGGCTAAGTTCCCTCTTCCCCAATTGCTCCTGACCCGTTCCCCGCCTCCCATTCCTCCTCCTCCTCCTCCTCCTCCTCCTCCTCCTCCTCCTCCTCCTCCTCCTCCTCCTCCTCCTCCTCCTCCTCCTCCTCTGTCGTTGCTGGTTGAGGCGATACCTAACGGCTCACAGACCATCCCCCCCACTGCCGGTATTCTCCCAAAACTTCTACTGCGGTAAACACCCCCCCCCTCTCTTGGGTACTTCGGGCAACGGCCCCAGTGTAAGTGCATCCGGTTAACCCTTGGGTGCTTCAAAGCCCCCAGCGTAAGTGCATCGGGGCAAACTCTTCAATACTTCGGGGTAAATGCCCTCAGTGTAAGTGCATCCGGGCAACCCTTTGGGTCTGTGGCTTGTGGGTGTTCCCTCGCCAGTAACGGCCCTCCCGCCTCCTCCTCTACTTCCTGCTTCCTCCTGCCCCCTCCTCACTTCCTTCCTCCTCCACATCCTCCTGCTTCCTCCCTCCCCCTCCTCCCTTCCTTCCTCCTTGTCCCCCTTCCCTCCTCCTCCTCCTCCTCCTCCTCCTCCTCCTCCTCCTCCTCCTCCTCCTCCTCCTCCTCCTCCTCCTCCTCCTCCTCCTCCTCCCCCTCCTCCTTTCCTCCCTCCTCATTCTGGCATTGTGCCATTGTACGTCGTTCTTCTCCTTGCATTGTGTCATCTGTTTTCTCTCTCTCAGCTTGTAACCTCTACCCAGCTACTAACCTTCACTGTGAGGTTGCACCTTGCGGTTCCTTTTGCAGGCACGGTGACGCATTGCTGGGGAGACGGAGAAGAAGCGACACGAGTAGCATCTGCAGCGGCAGCGGCAGCATTGACGGGAGCAGCATCGACAGGAGTAGCAGCGGTTGGAGCAGCAGCAACTGGAGAAACAAGTAAGTAACTGGAGCCATGACTGAACACCCCCCCTTGCTTCCTTCTGCTCTCCCTCCCCTTTCCCTCCTCACTCGCGTTTTCATCTGCCTTGGTTGCTTCTATGGCTTTCGTGTTCTTCCTCGTTTTTCCGCTGTCCGTGTTCTTCCTCGTTTTTCCGCTGTCTTTTTTCATCCCACTATTGCCATGCGCCTTCCCCCTCCCACCCCTCCCCAGCCATTCACTTGTCGCTCTGCGATGCTAAACTCTCACACTTTTCCATTGTTCTCTGCTTGTGCTCTTTCTCTCTCTCTCTGCTGCTCTCAGACTGATTCTGCTCTCTCTCCCCCGATCTTCCTGGTTGCTCCTCGTGCAGAGCCAGCAGACGGCAGCAGTGGGATGGCAGCAGTGGGATGGCGGCAGTGGGATGGCGGCAGTGGGATGGCGGCAGTGGGATGGCGGCAGTGGGATGGCGGCAGTGGGATGGCGGCAGTGGGATGGCGTTGGGAGAAGGAGAGAGGTCCGCAATGACACTACAGCTGACAGCAGCAGTGGCTGGCAGCAGAAGAGAAGACCAGCAGTGACACCAGCGGTGGCAGCAGCAGCACCAGCAGCGGGGAGCAGCAGTAGCAGCAGTAGCAGCAGCAGCAGCAGCAGCGGAGGGAGATGGCTGGGACCTGCTGGGAGGAGCATAGAGAGGACGTGAGGAGAGCGAGAGTGAGAGGAGAGTGAGGGGAGAGCGAGGGTGAGAGTGAGAGTGAGGGTCAGAGTGAGAGTGAGAGTCAGAGTGAGTGTGAGGTGTGAGGACCTCGTTTGCTGGTTTGAGGCGCCTCAAATCCAGTTCTGTTGTGTCCTGCAGTGCACTGCAGTGTTCCGTTCCTCCTCTCTTCTCTTCTCCGAGTGGGTTGTGAGAGACATCTCAAAACTCGCTCCCTTGTGAGTTTCGAGAGACATCTCGAAACGCACTCTTCAAACTCTCTCTTCCTCCTCACTGCAGCTTAGCTGAAGTGAGCAAAACCAGGGTTTTGGGAGATGAGTGTCTCAAAACTCTTTTGCATGTTCCTCACTGCGAGCGTTGCAGTGAGCAAAATTGCACAGCTCGTCCTGAAGCAAGACTGGGCAGAAGACCGGGGCAGCAAGGACGGGCAGCAGTGGAGCTTCAAGTGAGGCGCTTTGACCCCCTGGGGGGCAAAGGATCAACACAAGAGGAGCAGCTGGAGGTGGAGCGGCGCCTTCAAGTGTGGCGCGTACTTTGCCTGCTGGGGGGCAAAGGATTAACATTGTGCTGCCCCTCTTCTAGGTACGGCAAGACCCGGAGGCAACACCAAGGCGGGACCAACAGGGGGACGCAGCAGCAAGGGGGCAAAGGATTAAATTTGTGTCGCCCCCTCTTCTAGGTACAGCAAGAACGGGAGAGGCAACACAAAGGCCGAAGCAACACGGGGACGCAGCAGCTAGGACCCGTTGTGAGCTGCAGTCTTTTTCGCTTTCTTGTGTCGTCTCATGCCTAATGTTGTTATGTGTGTGTCTTCTTGTCTTAGCCGTAACCAAGACATCAAGAACGCTCTAACCCCCTCGGTGAGTTATCTTCCATTTCTGTTTATTTGTTTTCCACATGCACTAATGTCGTGGTTTGTTGCCTCCCTCCCCTTTCAGACAGCCCCAAGACTTCAAGACGGCTTCATTCCCCTCGGTAAGTGCTCGTCCATTTCTGTTTTCTTGTTTTCCACATGCACTAATGTCGTGGTTTGTTGCCTCCCTCCCCTTTCAGACAGCCCCAAGACTTCAAGACGGCTTCATTCCCCTCGGTAAGTGCTCGTCCATTACTGTTTTCTTGTTTTCCACATGCACTAATGTCGTGGTTTGTTGCCTCCCTCCCCTTTCTGACAGCCCCAAGACTTCAAGACGGCTTCATTCCCCTCGGTAAGTGCTCGTCCATTTCTGTTTTCTTGTTTTCCACATGCACTAATGTCGTGGTTTGTTGCCTCCCTCCCCTTTCTGACAGCCCCAAGACTTCAAGACGGCTTCATTCCCCTCGGTAAGTGCTCGTCCATTTCTGTTTTCTTGTTTTCCACATGCACTAATGTCGTGGTTTGTTGCCTCCCTCCCCTTTCAGACAGCCCCGAGACTTCAAGACGGCTCCATTCCCCTCGGTAAGTGCTCGTCCATTTCTGTTTTCTTGTTTTCCACATGCACTAATGTCGTGGTTTGTTGCCTCCCTCCCCTTTCAGACAGCCCCAAGACTTCAAGACGGCTTCATTCCCCTCGGTAAGTGCTCGTCCATTTCTGTTTTCTTGTTTTCCACATGCACTAATGTCGTGGTTTGTTGCCTCCCTCCCCTTTCAGACAGCCCCAAGACTTCAAGACGGCTTCATTCCCCTCGGTAAGTGCTCGTCCATTTCTGTTTTCTTGTTTTCCACATGCACTAATGTCGTGGTTTGTTGCCTCCCTCCCCTTTCAGACAGCCCCAAGACTTCAAGACTGCTCCATTCCCCTCGGTAAGTGCTCGTCCATTTCTGTTTTCTTGTTTTCCACATGCACTAATGTCGTGGCTTGTTGCTTCCCTCCCCTTTCAGACAGACCCAAGACTTCAAGACGGCTTCATTCCCCTCGGTAAGTGCTCGTCCATTTCTGTTTTCTTGTTTCCCACATGCACTAATGTCCTTGTTTGTCTGATTTAGCAGAGACGGAGGAGCAGAGGAGTTCGGGAGGAGAGGAGTTCGGGAGCAGAGGAGTTCGGGAGGAGAGGAGTGTGGGAGGAGCAGAGGAGCGCAGCAGATAGGAGCAGCAGCGTAGGCGGAGGAGTAGCGGAGGAGAGGAGCAGCGGAGGAGCAGCGGAGGCAGAGGCGGCAGGAGGAAGGATTCCCGGCCATTGCCACTGCCAGTGAGCATTCTTATTTTGTTCTTGGTTTCTTTCTCCTTAGGATGGTTGCTTTGTTCGCTTGGCGTCGATTTTGAATCAGTATTTCGGCTCTGGGTGCAATCACTGGGTGTTCATAACGTTTTCTTCCTTCCCATTCCTTCCCATTCCTTCCCATTCCGCAGCGGAGGGGACGGAGCAGCAGAGGAGATGCATCAGAGGAGGAGGAGCAGAGGAGATGCATCAGAGGAGGAGGAGCAGAGGAGATGCATCAGAGGAGGAGCAGAGGAGATGCATCAGAGGAGGAGGAGCAGAGGAGATGCATCAGAGGAGGAGGAGCAGAGGAGATGCATCAGAGGAGGAGGAGCAGAGGAGATGCATCAGAGGAGGAGGAGCAGAGGAGATGCATCAGAGGAGGAGCAGAGGAGATGCATCAGAGGAGGAGGAGCAGAGGAGATGCATCAGAGGAGGAGGAGCAGAGGAGATGCATCAGAGGAGGAGGAGCAGAGGAGATGCATCAGAGGAGGAGGAGCAGAGGAGATGCATCAGAGGAGGAGGAGCAGAGGAGATGCATCAGAGGAGGAGGAGCAGAGGAGATGCATCAGAGGAGGAGGAGCAGAGGAGATGCATCAGAGGAGGAGGAGCAGAGGAGATGCATCAGAGGAGGAGGAGCAGAGGAGATGCATCAGAGGAGGAGGAGCAGAGGAGATGCATCAGAGGAGGAGGAGCAGAGGAGATGCATCAGAGGAGGAGGAGCAGAGGAGATGCATCAGAGGAGGAGGAGCAGAGGAGATGCATCAGAGGAGGAGGAGCAGAGGAGATGCATCAGAGGAGGAGGAGCAGAGGAGATGCATCAGAGGAGGAGGAGCAGAGGAGATGCATCAGAGGAGGAGGAGCAGAGGAGATGCATCAGAGGAGGAGGAGCAGAGGAGATGCATCAGAGGAGGAGGAGCAGAGGAGATGCATCAGAGGAGGAGGAGCAGAGGAGATGCATCAGAGGAGGAGGAGCAGAGGAGATGCATCAGAGGAGGAGGAGCAGAGGAGATGCATCAGAGGAGGAGGAGCAGAGGAGATGCATCAGAGGAGGAGGAGCAGAGGAGATGCATCAGAGGAGGAGGAGCAGAGGAGATGCATCAGAGGAGGAGGAGCAGAGGAGATGCATCAGAGGAGGAGGAGCAGAGGAGATGCATCAGAGGAGGAGGAGCAGAGGAGATGCATCAGAGGAGGAGGAGCAGAGGAGATGCATCAGAGGAGGAGGAGCAGAGGAGATGCATCAGAGGAGGAGGAGCAGAGGAGATGCATCAGAGGAGGAGGAGCAGAGGAGATGCATCAGAGGAGGAGGAGCAGAGGAGATGCATCAGAGGAGGAGGAGCAGAGGAGATGCATCAGAGGAGGAGGAGCAGAGGAGATGCATCAGAGGAGGAGGAGCAGAGGAGATGCATCAGAGGAGGAGGAGCAGAGGAGATGCATCAGAGGAGGAGGAGCAGAGGAGATGCATCAGAGGAGGAGGAGCAGAGGAGATGCATCAGAGGAGGAGGAGCAGAGGAGATGCATCAGAGGAGGAGGAGCAGAGGAGATGCATCAGAGGAGGAGGAGCAGAGGAGATGCATCAGAGGAGGAGGAGCAGAGGAGATGCATCAGAGGAGGAGGAGCAGAGGAGATGCATCAGAGGAGGAGGAGCAGAGGAGATGCATCAGAGGAGGAGGAGCAGAGGAGATGCATCAGAGGAGGAGGAGCAGAGGAGATGCATCAGAGGAGGAGGAGCAGAGGAGATGCATCAGAGGAGGAGGAGCAGAGGAGATGCATCAGAGGAGGAGGAGCAGAGGAGATGCATCAGAGGAGGAGGAGCAGAGGAGATGCATCAGAGGAGGAGGAGCAGAGGAGATGCATCAGAGGAGGAGGAGCAGAGGAGATGCATCAGAGGAGGAGGAGCAGAGGAGATGCATCAGAGGAGGAGGAGCAGAGGAGATGCATCAGAGGAGGAGGAGCAGAGGAGATGCATCAGAGGAGGAGGAGCAGAGGAGATGCATCAGAGGAGGAGGAGCAGAGGAGATGCATCAGAGGAGGAGGAGCAGAGGAGATGCATCAGAGGAGGAGGAGCAGAGGAGATGCATCAGAGGAGGAGGAGCAGAGGAGATGCATCAGAGGAGGAGGAGCAGAGGAGATGCATCAGAGGAGGAGGAGCAGAGGAGATGCATCAGAGGAGGAGGAGCAGAGGAGATGCATCAGAGGAGGAGGAGCAGAGGAGATGCATCAGAGGAGGAGGAGCAGAGGAGATGCATCAGAGGAGGAGGAGCAGAGGAGATGCATCAGAGGAGGAGGAGCAGAGGAGATGCATCAGAGGAGGAGGAGCAGAGGAGATACATCAAAGGAGGAGGAGCAGAGGAGATGCATCAGAGGAGGAGGAGCAGAGGAGATGCATCAGAGGAGGAGGAGCAGAGGAGATGCATCAGAGGAGGAGGAGCAGAGGAGATGCATCAGAGGAGGAGGAGCAGAGGAGATGCATCAGAGGAGGAGGAGCAGAGGAGATGCATCAGAGGAGGAGGAGCAGAGGAGATGCATCAGAGGAGGAGCAGAGGAGATGCATCAGAGGAGGAGGAGCAGAGGAGATGCATCAGAGGAGGAGGAGCAGAGGAGATGCATCAGAGGAGGAGGAGCAGAGGAGATGCATCAGAGGAGGAGGAGCAGAGGAGATGCATCAGAGGAGGAGGAGCAGAGGAGATGCATCAGAGGAGGAGGAGCAGAGGAGATGCATCAGAGGAGGAGGAGCAGAGGAGATGCATCAGAGGAGGAGGAGCAGAGGAGATGCATCAGAGGAGGAGGAGCAGAGGAGATGCATCAGAGGAGGAGGAGCAGAGGAGATGCATCAGAGGAGGAGGAGCAGAGGAGATGCATCAGAGGAGGAGGAGCAGAGGAGATGCATCAGAGGAGGAGGAGCAGAGGAGATGCATCAGAGGAGGAGGAGCAGAGGAGATGCATCAGAGGAGGAGGAGCAGAGGAGATGCATCAGAGGAGGAGGAGCAGAGGAGATGCATCAGAGGAGGAGGAGCAGAGGAGATGCATCAGAGGAGGAGGAGCAGAGGAGATGCATCAGAGGAGGAGGAGCAGAGGAGATGCATCAGAGGAGGAGGAGCAGAGGAGATGCATCAGAGGAGGAGGAGCAGAGGAGATGCATCAGAGGAGGAGGAGCAGAGGAGATGCATCAGAGGAGGAGGAGCAGAGGAGATGCATCAGAGGAGGAGGAGCAGAGGAGATGCATCAGAGGAGGAGGAGCAGAGGAGATGCATCAGAGGAGGAGGAGCAGAGGAGATGCATCAGAGGAGGAGGAGCAGAGGAGATGCATCAGAGGAGGAGGAGCAGAGGAGATGCATCAGAGGAGGAGGAGCAGAGGAGATGCATCAGAGGAGGAGGAGCAGAGGAGATGCATCAGAGGAGGAGGAGCAGAGGAGATGCATCAGAGGAGGAGGAGCAGAGGAGATGCATCAGAGGAGGAGGAGCAGAGGAGATGCATCAGAGGAGGAGGAGCAGAGGAGATGCATCAGAGGAGGAGGAGCAGAGGAGATGCATCAGAGGAGGAGGAGCAGAGGAGATGCATCAGAGGAGGAGGAGCAGAGGAGATGCATCAGAGGAGGAGGAGCAGAGGAGATGCATCAGAGGAGGAGGAGCAGAGGAGATGCATCAGAGGAGGAGGAGCAGAGGAGATGCATCAGAGGAGGAGGAGCAGAGGAGATGCATCAGAGGAGGAGGAGCAGAGGAGATGCATCAGAGGAGGAGGAGCAGAGGAGATGCATCAGAGGAGGAGGAGCAGAGGAGATGCATCAGAGGAGGAGGAGCAGAGGAGATGCATCAGAGGAGGAGGAGCAGAGGAGATGCATCAGAGGAGGAGGAGCAGAGGAGATGCATCAGAGGAGGAGGAGCAGAGGAGATGCATCAGAGGAGGAGGAGCAGAGGAGATGCATCAGAGGAGGAGGAGCAGAGGAGATGCATCAGAGGAGGAGGAGCAGAGGAGATGCATCAGAGGAGGAGGAGCAGAGGAGATGCATCAGAGGAGGAGGAGCAGAGGAGATGCATCAGAGGAGGAGGAGCAGAGGAGATGCATCAGAGGAGGAGGAGCAGAGGAGATGCATCAGAGGAGGAGGAGCAGAGGAGATGCATCAGAGGAGGAGGAGCAGAGGAGATGCATCAGAGGAGGAGGAGCAGAGGAGATGCATCAGAGGAGGAGGAGCAGAGGAGATGCATCAGAGGAGGAGGAGCAGAGGAGATGCATCAGAGGAGGAGGAGCAGAGGAGATGCATCAGAGGAGGAGGAGCAGAGGAGATGCATCAGAGGAGGAGGAGCAGAGGAGATGCATCAGAGGAGGAGGAGCAGAGGAGATGCATCAGAGGAGGAGGAGCAGAGGAGATGCATCAGAGGAGGAGGAGCAGAGGAGATGCATCAGAGGAGGAGGAGCAGAGGAGATGCATCAGAGGAGGAGGAGCAGAGGAGATGCATCAGAGGAGGAGGAGCAGAGGAGATGCATCAGAGGAGGAGGAGCAGAGGAGATGCATCAGAGGAGGAGGAGCAGAGGAGATGCATCAGAGGAGGAGGAGCAGAGGAGATGCATCAGAGGAGGAGGAGCAGAGGAGATGCATCAGAGGAGGAGGAGCAGAGGAGATGCATCAGAGGAGGAGGAGCAGAGGAGATGCATCAGAGGAGGAGGAGCAGAGGAGATGCATCAGAGGAGGAGGAGCAGAGGAGATGCATCAGAGGAGGAGGAGCAGAGGAGATGCATCAGAGGAGGAGGAGCAGAGGAGATGCATCAGAGGAGGAGGAGCAGAGGAGATGCATCAGAGGAGGAGGAGCAGAGGAGATGCATCAGAGGAGGAGGAGCAGAGGAGATGCATCAGAGGAGGAGGAGCAGAGGAGATGCATCAGAGGAGGAG